AAGTGATATTAAAAAGTGGTTTTCCAAACTAAAAAACACTGGTACTGGACCAGATCCAATTCCTGTGTTTCTATATTTTTGATTGTGTGTGTCCTGTTTTTAAATTAGAGTACTCGATTAACGATTTTCCATAAATCGGTCAGTGTTTTCGCTCGAATGTGAAAGAAACTGATCGGTGACAAATCATGATTAACTTCAGATTCGTTTTCCTCACTTCTCTCGCCGCTTCAACTTTGTCGGAATTAATGCATACTCATACTTATCAACTTCAGGAATAGCTTTCAGCCCGAAAGTTCTAGTTTCAACATTCGACCACTGCGCTGATTTAATTGATTAGAAACATCGTCATAGCGGGAGAGGCTGCAGCATCCATACCACCAATTTTGAAACGCGATTTGAAACATAATTTTACTAGGAACAAAAATGAAGTGAAATTTCGTGAGCGAAGATTATGTCCAATTCAGATGTATCTAACTACAATTCCTTTCCTTGAGGATCGTGTAAGTCCCCTTCATCTTCTGTTAGGACTGGTGGAGAGTTAAAACAGCTCCCTTGGCAGTTGACACAAGCAAAATGGTGGAAAATATGCCAGCCTTCTTGCACCCACAGCTAGCTCTGCAGTAGGTAGTAGCACATCGGCAAAACATGGCATGTAAAATTTCCAAGTTCAGCAGTGGCTGTAGAAATCACTCCCTCGAGAAAGGGTTGTAAAATAGGTGACGATACACACCTTCACCCAGTAAGGAACACAGTTACGCCAGCCCCAGAGGAAATTTTACAAACCATTTTTTGCCGTTCTTGTATTACCAACTGCGGGGATAGATGAGGGTGCAAGGAGCCTGGCATATTTAGCAACATTGCCTGTGACAACTGCCAAAGAAGCTGGTTTAACTCTCTACCAATCCTAATGGATCATGCGTCCACAATTAATATGGTCTGCAAGACAACCCGAACATGAAAAATTGGCTTTTTAGCCATTTTTGCGTACCACTCGAAAACTATCAACTGTCTGTAAAACATCTCTGTAAAGTGTACATGGGGCGCCGCTAAATTTATTCAGTTATTAATGAAAAGCCAATAAGTACAGGCCAAAGTTGATAAGAACTGTCTTTTGCACTATTTATTGCGGACAATGTTGAGAGAAGAAGAATTTGAAGAAAGAAAAAAAATGCTTAAAGCAAAGATCTTGATCTTTTTATTTTATGGAGTTGAAAGGGATAATTTCCGCTTCCTTGTCTCAATTTTATTAACGAAAATTTTGAAAACAATTCCCTGCTAGCCTGGAATGAATGCAATTTAGCTATTGTAAAAAAATTAATGGAGAAACGACTCTTTCCTTTCCTCACTTGAATTTTTTTTAATTTTCCTTGTAATATTGTGTATTGTGTATACTAATAAAATCCAGCTACACCCCTTAAATTTTTTTGCTCAAAATAGTTTATTAAATCTCCAAATGTACTCTTCATATCAAAATTTTAAAAACCGTAATCACGTTTTTCCTACCCCTAGCTGACTTCTTACTCTCTTTACTTCCTAGCGGTAAGATAAATCCTTAACTTACACTATCAAAATAATTTTTTGCTATTATAAAAAATGACCTTTCCACAAGTAATGTATTAAATGAAGATAGAAAACCTAACCGCAACTAATGGTCACTTTTTTGATCCAACGGGAACACTTTGTTCACCCCAACGATAATGCGAAACTCTTAGGGCCACTTTGGTCGCTTTGAAAATTAAACCGCGAATTCACGTCTTAGGACATAAACCTTATCGCTTTAAACCTTAGACCACGAATGTCTCAAAGCTCTCGAAAAGTAATTCCCAGTCAATTACCGACTAAATTTTTCACGCTCCAAAAATGGCGACCATTCATTAATTCCCATTGGTTAAAATTTTTAATTCTACCAATCCCTGTTGTTTTTTAAAACTCCCGAAAAACTCCCTTAAATTTAAAAAAAAAGTTAACTCAGCACTTTATACGTGTACTCAAAAAAGACTGAATTTGAAGTACCGTTGCGATATCGCGGGCCGTAATATCCTGAAGTCATTACCAGGACAAAAGGAGGCATTGAAACTTAAATGAGGTGCAAAAGCTATTTAAATTTCGAAACGTGACAATTTGCAATAATATTTCAAAACTAGGTTAAATATTTCTCGTAATTCACCTAACATGTGCTCTTCTTAACTTACTTAATAGAAATATTGACATTAATCATGACCCTTTTCCCACTATCGATATGGCTTTATATTCCCTTTAGATTCCCTTATGTACTAAATTATATCCAAATCCAAAATCCAAATGCGTCTATATATTTTATAAACTTAAATTTTTTTCTTTTTTCTTATATTATTTCATATTGTGTCCTATAATTGGTGTAAACTGTTGGGCATTAAATCATTAATTAATTAAATTAATTAAAACAAAACGGATCCCTTAAACTCAAAATCTAACATATTTGCAGCGAAATTTGGAGAAAAAGCATTCAGTTGTTTTTATTTCAGACAACAAATGAGCAACGAAAAACAACTGAATTTTTTAAATGGCAGTGTACCTTTTCATTAGGCTCATTTGATAGTTTTTTTTCTATATTCGATAATGTAAATGTTAGTATCCTTATTCAAGAATTTAAAAATTTAGTATAATTACATCAATTACGTCAATCTAGATATCCTACAACAAAATAAACCAAATGAACGTGTACTTTTCTTGAAGATAATCGAACCGCTCGTTAACGTAATTAATGAACGCATACACTACTTAGAATCCCAAAATTTCAAAATTATAATAATATGGATTCCCGGTCATGTCGGTATATATGGAAATGTGAAAGCTGATGAAGCGGCACAAATTTCACCACAGCAAAAACAAACCGATGTTACAGTTATTCCACCGTCAGACTGGAAAGCATATTTAAAAAAGAGTATTATGACCCATTGGGAAATAAAATGGAAGAACTCCAATAATTTTTTAAGTAAAATAAAGTGCCACACAAGACCATGGATAAACAGGTATAGCTTGAGCAAAAGAGAGGAAGTAGTGTATACGAGGATACGTATTGGGCATACCAATATCACACACCTTCATATGTTGGGAAGGTGTGAAATTAAAAACTGTAGTAGATGCAGCGAGCCATATACAGTGCAACACATCCTTTTGGATTGTCCTGAATACGAGAATGATCGGAAAACGCACGGATTGCACAAAAACTTGAAAGAAGTCCTTCATGACGATCAGAACAGTATTCAACGACTGATTTCATTTTTAAAGAGTATTGATATATTCAATAAGATTTAAGTTAGAAGGAGGTACATCAGGCGAAAGACCAAAGCAGTCGAAGCCTTTATCACTGAAAAAAAAAATACGAAATTAGCAATAGGTATTTAGTATACAGTTGATATTGACCGAGATATAACTATATTCCACACATAATGGACACCGTGTATGTTTTGCACTTCAGTAACAAATTTGTAATTTTGTTCATTGAATTTTTTCAATGATGCCCTGCAAGTTGTCGCTTTATAAATGCAATTAAACTTGAAAAACATCAATATTAACAATTACCATCAGTTATTTCTAGCGGTCAATTGAACATTGAAGTGCACTATTTAAATTTCTCGTTATTTTTGTGTACCCTAAAAATGTTTTAGATTTATCAGAAACGTTGAAGTAGTAGAGGTGTACTTCACATAACGAAGGGAGACATACATACAATACAAAAACACACTTTGTATTAAATAAATTCGCCGCCGAAAACGTAATAACAAATATATCTATAATAAATATTTTGTTTAAGACTATCATATATTTATCGCTTATCGTTCAGATGTTTACATTTTGTCGCCTCAGAAATTCATTCTACAAGTGTTTTTTTCTGTAACATATCGGTTAATTATTAATTACCTATTTATTTTGACCAACTTGGTACAAATGACCTAAAAAGGTATAGGTACCGCATTTAAATTTTGAAATTTATGGTCATAAAAGGCGTAGGTATACTATTAAATCAGTTTTACTGATAATGTCACCCACCAAAACCTTTTACTTTTATCTCCAATTCTACCAAAGCGACAGGGGTGCGTCTACCTTGGTATACATACTGTATATCAGATAAATTTAACTACAAGGGCGGACATGATTGAAATTTTGATCGAAATAAATAAATCTAAATTCCAGGACGTTTCCTAACCATATATTTTAATAATATGCACTTGTAGTTTATGGATAAAATGCCACTATCCCTCCTTAAAGTATCTCAAAGAGCAGTCAACTATGAAAAAGAATGTCCAATTAGAGAAATGTGACGGCGGTATTAATTTATAAAAGCAGGATCTATCTTTTATAGCCCCAACAAAAAACATTTTTTGGGCCTTGCAATGGCTTCTCTCAAGGGGTATAAGTATAGAACTTTGAGGCGGGATTATAGGGGTGCGTAATGTGAGGTAACAGTATACTTGTATATTCACCTCTCTATTCTATCCACACGCTTGAGTATTTTGTGACGTTCTTTATAGAGAAAAAAGATATGGCCCATAAATTGTCGTCCTGTATTACGTACAACCTTTTCTGGAATTTGTTCTCGATTTTTCGTGATTTTGGGTTTTTCTCCTTGACATTGAAATTTCGATTGTTCCACAGTTCTGGCATTTTTCGTTATTGGACCTTTTGTTCTCAGAGACTTGGAAATCTGACATCTTTCTAAGAATTCTGAATTTTTTACTTGGAATTTTGAGATAATCATAATATTCTGGAATGAGCAATATATAATACAACTCAAAAAAGAGTGTGTCTATATTTGGATGCAGAGCTGTATACTTTGGTTCATTAGTTTATCTTTATGGAATGCTGATTACTGTGTGCTTAAACTATTATTATATAAAAACTAGCAGACCCGGCCCACTTCGTACCGCCATTGGGAAACCTCGTTTTCTTGAATGGGAGACACCGTCGGTTGCGCCGCCTCACCTCGCACCATTCATGCATGTTTAAAATAGGTTGCTGTTTTCAGGTTATTTATTACCATTTTTTTTAAAAGTACATACAACAGTACACAATCATCGCTCTTGCTTTTCCTTTCATGGGATCGATCGGTTCCGGGTTCATCAAACTTCAAAAGGACGGCAAATAGTTTCCACACTTTGGAAAGTTATGCGGAACCGGCGGCATGTCCTTGCAGGTTCCAACTTTGAAAATCAAATTCATGCCCGTTGTAATGTGATGGGCGAAATGACAGTGGAAAAACCAGTAGCCTGGATTGTTAGACTTGAACCTTATTACGATGTATCCTCCGATTGGTATGGTTAACGTGTCTTTAAAGACGGGTCGATCGAATTGTCTTTGAAGCAGTCCTTTCTTGTCAAGCTCTTGGGCTTTTTCAATACTGGATGCGTTTCCGTTGGGCAAGATACCAATTCCTATCACGTTAAATGCATAGCCGTGCAAGTGGATGTTGTGCGTGTGTTTTGGAGATGTAGCTGAAATTGCCGATTAAACTCAAATTTACAACAACAAAAAACTAGTTACATTCATCAATGATAATCAACTCGATCACCTGGTTTAATGGAAGATCGATTTTATGCGTGCAACTACAAAGATAATCTTCACAGTGGTCTGGTTTATTATCTCGGTTACAAAAGTGCGATGCGTTCACGTCGCGGTACTGCGATAATAGTGGCGATGGCGGTGGCATGTAATTAATGGTGTCTACTTTCTGTGTCAGCAGTTTGTCACTAAAAACTGGAGTGTGTGATGTGAAGACCATCTTAATAAGGTTGGGATTTCTCACCTAAAAACCCGTTGTAGCTGTTGGACTCGAAAAGTTCTTCTCCGGACACCTCGTATGTACCTAACGGTAGAAAGAGTTTCACGTCCGCGTTTGGTTTTAAAACACTGCTGTCCGCTTTTCTTTTAGCTTTTAAATGGGTGAAGCATATGCTGTTGTTATTATCGCCTGAGCAGTTGCTGGTGTATTGATTTAAAACCTATAGCTTTGTAGAGTAATTATTCAGTTAAGGCGAATTACGTACTATGAGCTCATCGGGGAATGGCGAGTCAGGGGAGGGGCGAGGCTCCTTTGGAAGTGAAGGTTCAGAATAATGTACCAGAGCTAATTGCTGGACGTTATCCGACAGGCAACCATCTGAGGTCTTGATTCGCAGCCAGTAGCTCGCCTGGGGCTGATTGGCGGTAAATATGAAGTCGAATCGCTCCGCTACAATTGCATAACTAGAACAAAATAGAGAAATCTATATGCTTACCCGCCCAAGATTGAATACCGTCAACAACAACTGAGTCGAACGGCTCACCGTCACTTGAAATCACAGTAAGTTTATGCCGATCGATCGTTAAAGTAACAGGGCAAAACGATGCCAAGGCGTTTATTAATCTAAACCTATAAGTTTCACCCGGAACCACGTGAAACTGTTCCAGCGGTGTTTCAGTCATAACTCCCGTGTCTGGATGTTTGGCTTGTCCCTTTCCGTTTATCAGTAAACTATGAGGTACTTGCCCAATTAACGTAGGTCTCCACAAAGCACCTGGAAACGTTTCCGCAGTTAAATAATGGAACCAGTCGTTCAAAATGATGACATGCTCGCTTAAGTCGTGTTTATAACAATCGCTATGGTCATCATTGGGCGCAGCCTGTCGAATAATCAGACCTCCGGCCACTCCATCCATTTTTTGAAACCCGGAGTGAGAGTGCCAAAAGTGAGTGCCCGGGTTGTCCGCGCGCCATTTGTACCTGAAATTGGCGAGAATATATCTTCATGGGGCATGAAACACGGGTTTACCTAAAAGTGTTACCCGATAATATTGGGCACTGTGTAACGAATGGAACGCCGTCAGAGAATTGCGTGCCAGTTTGCCAAACTCCGTGCCAGTGTATTGTCACTTCTTGTCCCTCAATCGCATTGTGGACGTCTACTACCACCGTGTCTCCTTTGCATACTTCAATCAATGGACCGGGTAGCATTCGATTAACCGTGTAAACGCTTCTTTCTACGCCATCGGCTCGAATGCACTGCGATGAGTTGTGGTCGCACGACCTTAAATTATTTAATTACGTATAGCGTTAATGACTCGATCACACTTCACCATCCCATAGTGCTGTACTGTTCCACATAGAACTGGTAGTAACACGTTTTGGTCTCACCATCTACACAAACTCTTGCGCAAGCCGTTCCTAGGGCGATTTTTAAGGGTGCGGTTTCGAAAATAAAGTTACTCCTCACCTTCTGTAAAGTTTGCCTTTGTTTCCAAAATACACCCTAGTATTACGCACAAAATCCATGTATACTCCATAATTATTTTCTCCTCGCGGATTAAAATATGGCGTTGCAATTATCAGTTGAAGATTTTGGATGGTGAAAGGGCTGTTTATGGAAAATGCCAATTATGTCGAAATAAGACCTCCGTTGTTATTCTCCAAAAACAAACTGATCCAAAGTGATTTCTGCTAATGCTTGAGTGAATTCTATAAAAAGAACTAGTATTTTTACTTTTTATAAATAGAAACTTAATTTCATAGAATATGCGCCCCTTCTATTAATTTAGGAAGCAAGTGAAACGGAATTGTGTATGTATCAAAGTATACAGACTTTAATTTTTTTTCGATGCAGCATTATTCTTCTTTTGCGCACACCCCTTTTTTGTTGGGAAATTCTTACTGGGATACGTTATAACTTGTATCAAACCGAATCGCGTTTACCTAATTGGGGTAACTGAACCACAGCGGAACCGATATTGAAAACTTTCGGTGTAGTGACTTTAGTTGTAGGTATTATCAGAATGTTCGCGGTTTGGTTTTGGTTGCAAATACGGCATAAAAGAATAATTCATGGTGTTTCATGAACAAAATTACGATTTTAATTCTCAAAACACCTTTGGGAAGGGGACCACCTCAATTTTTACACGGAGTGCAGGACAATGGAGACAATAAATTGTAATTTTATTATTATTGCACACTGTGCACACTTTAAATATCTGGAAGGATTGCGAGTTAACAGATGTCTACTTAAATTTGATTTTTCGTTCGTTGCATAATGACACTGTGCACATTTTAAATCCGTTTAAGACATGTGTGATGAGAGATGTCGTTTCAGAATATGTTGAAGATTTTTTGTAAAATTGAAATGTATAGGTACACTTTAAATCTTTTGAAATCTTCCGTTTATGGGTCATTATTGCACATGTACGCCCGGTATTATAAAGTATACTTAACTTTGTTGTCAGGCTAACAACGTTGTTTATTTTATTTTATTTATTTATTGTCCCTCTCTTGTTCTGGGCCCTCAACAGGCTTGCGCCCAATTACAGAGTGACCCGCATAATCTAATAATGTTAAGGCATGTGATTGGATATTTTTGTTATTCTTTGAAAAAACATCCAATCACATGCCTTAACAATATTGTTAGCCTGACAACATAGTTAGGTATGATTTATACCAGTCGTAATTCGCCTGTTACATTTGTATTCTAGTACGGGAGGTAGCGTCCTATTTGACCGGACCATTTTCGCAAAGTTCATCTTTCTACTATAGATTTTTGATCCATAACCTATCAACGATAGGGGCGTCAGCTGGTTCAAAAGCGTGACTTAAGATAGCGAGAGACTGCGAAAGACGTAAAAAAAATTGTTTTTCGGACCATTTTCGCAAAGCTGAAAATGGTATAATTATATAATAGTGTACAATGTAAAAAGAGCATAAATAACTGTCAGCTGATATTTAAATGTGGCAAAACCTGTTAGCTGGGCGCCCAAAGTGTAGCGTAGCGTTAGCGGGCGCTAGCGCGCGCGGCGACTTTAAATTTTGATGACCCAGCTAACACATTTTTCCACGTTGTCGTGTCAGCTAACAAGTGGTTTCCTTTTTTTTGTACCATAAACTGATAGGTACTCATTTCCATGCATGCTGATGTCATATTATTGGAGAAAAATATGATTGAAAGAGAATACATGAGTAAAATGGCATCACATACCTAATATTTTACATGAAACATTGTATTTTATAATTTGTAACGTGCGTTAAGGACATATAATAAATCAAAATAGACAAAACAAACCAAAAAAAGGAAACTAATAGCTTCAGTTACAAGCCAAGCGGACCAAGCCGAACCGCACCGATGTGTCAGTCAAGTCACCTGGGTATAAAACAGATGCTTCTAAAATAGTTCCATTTGCACTCGAAGATATACATTTGTAAATATACGTATCTCGTGCAGAATCAGGTGTCGATTGTGAATCCGAGAGCGCGATGGTCGCAGGAATTGCAAACAACCAGAAAAAATAGTTTGTAAAAAATTTCACACTTCTTAAAAGTTAGAAATTTTACATTTAGGTACATCGCATTTCCGAAGTTATTTATGAATATTTTTCAAGAATGTGGGTACCGTTCGAAAGCTCATTATATTTGCTGTCTCACAGAACAAAAAGAAAGTCGATGCTGTCTTGAACAACCACTCTGTAAACTCTATATGGGCAAGAATTGTAATAAAAATCTCAGTCGCGAGGTATTTTCGTTATGAGTGCAGATAGAGGTATAATACATGTGCGATACAAAATATGTCGAATGAATCAAGATAGTTTTTTTTAATAAAACATTTTTTCAATCAGACCAACGGTTTAAGAAATATAAGAGGTTGAATATTTATTAAAAACGTAACGCGAGCGTCTCAGCTCCTGGCAACACCAACCGACGCGACGCCTGCCTTTATTAACACGCACGCTGTCGCATAAGTCCGTCTCAGTCACACTCCCGCAGACCCGGTCTGTTTTCTTGTAACGCATTTTTTTAAGAATTGTCTAAGAAATGTGTTATTGGTTGCGTTTTGTCCTAACAGGAAAATAAAAGTTAGTAGCGCCTAAAATAATCTTACACAAACGTACCATAATCTCTCCGTAAGCAGCCGCAGCCGTGGTTAGGGCTATTAGTTTCCTTTTTTTAGTTTGTTTTGTCTCTTTTGATTTATTCTATGTCCTTAACCACGTTACAAATTATAAAATACAATGTTTCAAAAAACAGACCCCATCAAAACATAGCTGGAGGAGGAGTTGCGATAATTGTGCAAGATAAAATTCATACGAGAGAAGTCCCACTCCATACGAACTTAGAAGCCTTAGCGGTCACAGTATTCACCCCAAAGAAAATCACAATTTGTAACGTGTACATACCAAAAGATCAAAGCTTTGAAGAAGAAGACCTTAATGACCTAATCTCTCAACTACCCCAGCCTTTTCTACTACTAGGAGATTTCAACAGTTACCACATGCTCTGGGGATCAAATTTTACCGACAGCAGAGGCAGGAAAATTGAAAATTTTATAATTACCAATCCAATAAACCTCCTAAATACTAACGAACCAACCCATTTCAATGCTGGCAGTGGATCCTTCTCCAACATTGACCTAACTTTTTCAACACCAGACGTTTATCCTGACTTGTCATGGGATGTGCTAGACTCACTGTACGATAGCGACCACTTTCCCATCAAAATATGTCTCAATCTCACAGCGCTCCCCAAAACACAACAACCTGCCCCACCACGATGGAAACTTAAGACAGCTAACTGGGAAAAATTCAAGGCACTCACAGAGTCGGAAGTTTCTATCGACCCAAATGGCAGTAACATTGACGAAGCTGTAAGCGAAATAACCAACCTCATACTTACCGCAGCTGATACTTCGATAGGACAAACTAATTGTTTTCAAAACAAATACCGCATACCATGGCTTGATGCCACTTGCAAGGCAGCCATCAAAGAAACTAAAACAGCCTTTAATTACTGGAAAAAACATAAAACCATAGAAAACCTTGTTTTATTCAAACACCTTCGCGCCAAATCACGTAAACTTCTTAAGGACGCAAAAAGAGAATCATGGAAAAGCTTCGTCGCATCCATTAGTACAACTACCTCTGGTAGTGAGGCATGGAATAAAATAAATACACTTCGAGGGAAAAGGTCCCGATTCACAGTCAGTGCTATAACAGATGCAACCAATGAAATCCACACCGACATAACAGAAGTGGTCGACATACTAGCAGACCACTTTCACACCGCCTCGTCTGATGATAATCTAGACCCAGAATTTCGGATTTACAAACGCAAAGTTAAAGAACTACAACACAGTCCTTCTGTTAACCATCCAATCAATTTACCCCTTTCAGAAGAAGAATTCCTTTCAGCGCTACAGACGACAAAAAATTATTCTGCCACAGGACCGGACAATATACCATATATTCTCCTAAAAAACTTACACAAAAATAGTATCAACTACCTTCTAAAAATTTACAACACTATATGGACAGAAAACTGCTTCCCTAAAACCTGGCAAAATGTCATCATAGTGCCAATATTAAAACCTGGAAAAGAACCTACCCAGCCTTCAAGTTACCGGCCGATATCGCTATCCAACACACTATGTAAACTTCTCGAAAAGATGATTAATCGTCGTCTATCTTGGTACTTGGAATCACACAATTTGCTATCCACAGTCCAAGCGGGCTTTAGAAAAAACCACACAACCGTAGATCACCTCATTAATCTGGAATCGGAAATCCACAATACCTTTCTGAATAAAGAGCACATGATAACAGTATTCTTCGATATAGAAAAAGCCTTCGACCTCACTTGGCGCTACCTACCTCTACAAAAATTACAAGAATGGTCTATTACAGGAAATATCTTTAACTTCATAAAAAATTTTCTCAACAACCGCACATTTCAAGTTAAAATCAACGGCACTCTTTCCACCAAAAAAACCCTACAAAATGGAATTCCTCAAGGTTCCCCCATCAGTGTGACAATCTTCTTACTGGCAATTAATGATATAATTACAACGGTGCAGAAACCAGTTAAAGCACTTCTGTACGCCGATGACTTGGCCATCTCTTCTAGAGGCAAAGACCCACATATTGTAAAAACCCATATCCAAAACACTATAAATAAATTAACTGCGTATAATAAAAAGACCGGATTTAAAATAAGTGTAAATAAAACTAAAGTAATTAATTTCACCAAACAAAGAACTAACATACACCCTAACCTATACTTAAACGATATGTCGCTAAATTACTCCAGTGAAGTGAAATTCCTAGGTCTCATATTTGACCACAGACTTACTTGGAAAAGTCATATATCACAACTGAAATCTAAAAGCGTTAAAACGCTGAACCTACTAAAAACCATTGCAAGTCATAAATGGGGGACAACCACGGAAACTCTACTCCAACTCTATCGCAGCCTAATTCGATCCACTATCGACTACGGATCCATAGTGTACTCCTCTGCTAAACGCTCCAATCTTAAACTACTTGATGTGATTCATCATTCAGCTCTCCGAATTTCTCTGGGAGCCCTGAGAACCACTCCTATACAAAGTTTGTATTGCGAAGCATTCGAACCATCCCTGACATTTAGAAGGAAGTTACTATCTCTGAGGTACTACTTTAAAATTGCGAGCACTACACAGCATGTTACTTACCCAAACGTCTGCAACAACCGATACATTGCGCAATATTCACATAAACCATTCACGCCAGCCCCTTTTCATATCAGAATAAGGAAGCTCCTCCACTCGATACAAATACCTTCAACTGGTGTAAACATATATCCTGCACCAAAGATCGTAACACCCTTCTGGATACGAACACCGCCGATAATCAACACTGACCTTACAAGTGTTTCAAAATCCCATATTGTGCCACTAATTACAAATACTTTTAAAGAACTTCTTACTACACTATTCTCAAACTATACACCCTACTACACTGATGCATCACAGACGGGAAACGAGAGAACGGGCCTAGCTGTGGTAGGTCCGCACAATACAGTTCGGTACCGACTCCCAGGCGGCGCTTCAGTTTTCACGGGAGAGTTAACAGCTATACTCCTAGCCCTCAAGATGTCCCAAAGTGATGAATCCTCGAAGACTCTCATCATCTCTGATTCTCTCAGCTCTCTCCTGTGCATAGCCAACACCTCTAAAAACAAAAATGTTATTGCACAAGAAATTCAAGAACTGCTTGAAAAAAGAAATCATACAGCAACTCAAACTGCCTTGCTATGGGTTCCATCCCATAGTGGAATACCAGGGAATGAGCGCGCAGACGCCGCTGCCAAGGATGCTACCGTAAACCCAGACATCGAACTCTTGAAACAATTGGAGATGGACCTTAGGAGGACAACGTACCGGGAACTCCTTAGACAGTGGCAAGAGTGCTGGTCTCAGTTAAACCACAAACTCTCCCGAATAAAACCGACCATCCAGAGACCTATTTACCACAATTTCCGACGTCAAGAAGAAGTTAGTCTCTCACGTCTACGAATGGGACACACCCTTCTCACCCATGCACATCTCTTCAGCAAAGAACCACCACCACTATGTCCTCAATGTGCAGTTGACCTCACCGTGGGCCACATTATGTTGGAGTGTCCCACCTACGCTGCTCCTCGTCGGTCATTTGGAGTTGCCAACAACCTCCAGGAAGCCCTAAATTCTAATGACTCCGCCACACTTACTGCCACAGTCCAGTACCTTAAAGTGACCGACCTCATCAATAAACTGTAAAAAAATAATAATGTAATCTTTAAGGTGCTAAAAACAAAGGTTGATGTACCTCCAAATAAATCGTCAATAAAAAAAAAAAAAAAAAATTTATGTATAATATTATTATACAGTATGTGAAACCATTTTACTCATGTATTCTCTTTCACTCATATTTTTCTCCAATAATATGACATCAGCATGCATGGAAATGAGTACCTCATCAGTTTATGGCACAAAAAAAAAGGAAACCACTTGTTAGCTGACACGACAACGTGGAAAAATGTGTTAGCTGGGTCATCAAAATTTAAAGTCGCCGCGCGCGCTAGCGCCCGCTAACGCTACGCTACACTTTGGACGCCCAGCTAATAGGTTTTGTCACATTTAAATATCAGCTGACAGTTATTTATGCTCTTTTTACATTGTACACTATTATATAATTATACCATTTTCAGCTTTGCGAAAATGGTCCGAAAAACAATTTTTTTTGCGTGTTTCTTAGCCTCTCATACCATCACGCCACGCAGTCGCGCCAGCTGACGCTTGTTTTAAGTGTTAACTAAGTAAAAACTACCAGGCAGAATAAAAAGTAATTGTGCGAAAATGACCCGTAAAAATAGGACGCTACCTCCCGTACTATTCGCAATAAATAAGGCTCAGAATGAAGAATTTTGCGTTTGCGTATACTCTGGGAGCGACTGTCTTATGACTTATGAGCGTATTTTTCAAAGTTAATATTTCTGAAAGCAAATTTCTTTGGGATTGGGTTTACGTGTGTAAGTAAATATTCGCGGGAATTTAGATGTGGTGGGTTTAAAAAGTGGTTGTTCTGCGGCCAAAATTCCCGGCCAAATTTGCTTGGGGGCACATTTTCTTGGTGGAATTTTTGTCGAAGCGAATATTCCAGGAATGAAGATATCATAGTAGAGAAAGTGTATAAAGTTTACCTTGGAAATATAGTTATGTCGCAATATGACAGTTGAGGTACTTTGATATCACTTTTCTTGAGCAAGAAGGGAATTCCGTTGGACATACATACACCAAAGTTAGCACACAATATAATTTGAAGGTGTAGGTAGCGGTTTCTTTAAAATAGAGTTTTAGACCAATTTTGATAAATACTTGCGCAACACAATTAATTTGATCATCCTGTACAGATCCACGTATTCACGCACATTTCTCAATAATCTCAGAAGCAAATGCATATCAAATGTTACTTACTTAACAATAACTTTGAAGTGATTAAATAATTCAAAATTTAGAACTTTCACCTGGCAACTTGCTATTTTCGACACAATATGGAAATGAGCTATCCCTTTATCCAAAACGTCGTCTCCATCTAATCTAAATGATTTCCGGCCAATTAGCATGTTGCCAACCTTGTCAAAAATTATAGGAAGGGATCCTAAACCTGCATATGATATATTATCCCGGATGTGCACCGTTGCTTATAATAAAAAAGTGAGACTTTCTGGGTCACTGAGCCAACCGCCTCCGCCAAGGACATTTATTTCGCTCTTTTGAAATTGCACACTGATACAGATAACAGATACGTAGGAATGTTTAATGAGTACTGCGGTGAATCTTGGGGTAAATACACTGAGTAATATCCCACTCATCCTCTCCGAGACTCAGACTTTCTCGATGAACTGTCAGGATCCTAGATCTTACGTTGTGTCTGTTAGTTAAAATCGGAGTTTACCAGTTGAGACAAGGTACATTAAATACGAGATAATTACGTTTATTCCTTAGTTAACATTTTGGAAATTAAGTATTTGAAAAAAAAACGTTTAACAATAAATGCGCCATGGAAGAGAATATCGCCCTTAGCAATTAGTTACGGAGCTAAAGAGTTACGGAAGTTGTCCCTTAGGCGAGCCGATCCTCGATATTAAATCTCCTTCATAACGCGGTGACCTATTTCACAGCAAAATGTCCTTTAATACGTGTATTTATATGCGAGCACTACCTTATTGTTTTAGCCCTTTAAGCTCATCCCATTTTAAAACTAAGGGTTTTAAATGGATTTGATGTAAATAGATTTGTAGCTCTTGTAAAAACATACAAAATGTTTTTTATGCACTTTCTATCATCAAAAATAAAAGAGTTATGATTAAAAAACCAACCAGAATTTTTTTCGAAAAATTCTGAAAGCGCAAATGAGAGCATGATGATCTACAAGACCGGTATAGACTTTAGAAACTTACATACACACTTACATCCACTCCATACACCTATACACTACGTAATTTATATACAGGACGACTTAAAAAGAATATCACCACTTTGAAAATCTGAATTTTAATTAAACAAAACTGTCGTCAATAATAAATTATTATTAATTTTTTGAGGGTAAATACTTTTTTTTATTAAACCACAATAGGGGTTGATTTTTAAGGGTTGAAGTATTCTGAAAGAATGTTCCAAAGCCTCTAACAATCAGTGCTCAACTTTTTTGAACCAAATTTTACTCACCTTAAACTTTATCGGCATAGTGTAGATTTTGAAATGAAGGGTAAATTGAGCTTAATTCCAAATTTTCAAGCAAATCGATGCATTGTAAAAAAATTGTCAGGTTTTATACTATTTTAAGACTAGTATGACAAAGTCAGGTCTTACGTACACAATTGTGTGTTTGATGGATGAGTTTTACTATGTCCAGCTGAAAAGGTGAACATAAGAAAACAATATGGAAATTATTACTGCAATATTTATTTTTGATCTTCAAGTAGTCTATTCCTATTTTTTCTAAATACTGTTCATTGGAAGCACTGGCTTAGTAAGGTGGCTGAAAATGTCCACACTTAGGAAAGTTGGCCGGGATCGGTGGTATATCATAATCCGATCCAACTTGCAAAACTAGACTCATCCCTGTAACCAAGTGGTGCCCGTAGTGACAGTGCATAAACCATAAACCTGCATTCTTGGCATTAAATCGTATGACGGCGTATCCGCGAATGGGTACTGTTAGAGTGTCTTTGAAAGCAGGGTGCACGAATCTTCTTTGAAGGAGTCCTTTTGAGTCGAGGTCCTTCACCTTGTCCAGAGTGGGTCTCGTGTCATTTGGGAGAACACCAATTCCCATAACGTTGAACGCGTAACCGTGTAGGTGCATATTGTGAGGGGCTAGTGCTTCTTCAGCTGCAAAAATGAGATAAAATTAGTGAAAGTTTATAATATCCATGTACTCACAGTCATCTGCTAGAATAATCTCCACGATTGCGTTTAGAGGAATGTCGATTTTGTGTGTGCAGGTACAATTACCCACGCAATTTTTGTTGCGATTACAGAATTGCGTAGGTGGCGTTTCAAAGTATTGCGATATTATCGGTGACGGAGGTGGTGCATATTCGACACCGTCTATTCTATGCGTCACCAGCCCTGCACCGGTGCCAATAACTGCAAAGAAAAATTGAAATTTGCTTACTAAGCGATGGAATCGTTTACCCATGAAGGGCCTATATTGGTTGGGTTTGAAAACTTGCTGCTCTGGAAGAAAATATGTTCCGAATGGCAAATATAGTTTAATATTTGGGGTTCCCAAAACTCCATAGTCTATTGGCCTCAGACTTTTTAAGTGGTTGAGACATATCGCGTTTGAAAAACCATCCGCGCAGTTTCTGGTGTAATCATTTAACATCTACAAACATTTGTAATTTGTAATTACTGAAGGGAGTAGACGTACCACTCCTTGAGGCACTGACGTGTTGTAAGATGGACGAGGAGCAGTTGGAAGTGCCGCTGCCGTACTATAGCGTAAGATAGCTAGCTGCTGAAGTTGCTCCGATGCACAGATCCCAACCGCTCTTACTCGTATCCAGTAACTACCTATTGATTTATTGGCAGTAAGTATAAAATCATATCGTTCAGCTGAAATTTGCTAGTTAGACACGTATCATTTCAATATAGGCGCGATTCACCAGAGTAAGACTGAATACCGTCGACGACGACACTCTGGAAAGGTTCCCCGTCACTAGCAATAGCTAGTAGTTTATGTTGATCAATGGTGAAGATTATCGGACATACTGTGCCCATGGCGTTTATTAGCCTAAACCTGTACGTTTGGCCCTGAAAAACAGTAAACTCCTCGAGTGGCGTTGTAGTCATGACATTAGTATCAGGATGCCGAGTTTGTCCTTTACCGTTAATCAGTAAACTATGTGGAAGTTCCCCAATTAAAGAGGGTCTACGTAGAGCACCCGGCAATGTCATACTCGCGAAATATGGCCACCAATCATTCACCATGACTGTGTGAGCACTTAAGTCGTTTCTATACAAAGAACTATGGTAATCTCTGGCAGCGGTTTGTCGAATGACAATAGGTCCGGCTAACCCATCCATTTTTTGCAAACCGGTGTGAGCGTGCCAAAAGTGAGTACCTGGATTTTTTGCGTACCAAATGTAGCTGAAAAGTTCGAATAAAAACTTGTGAGGAAATACAGTGAGTTACCGAAAATTGTTGTGCGATAAAATTGGGCATTGTGTAACGTATGGCACTCCATCGGCGTACTGAGTACCGTCTTGCCAAACTCCGTGCCAATGTATTGTCATTTCTAGTCCTTCGATCCTGTTTTCAACATCAACGACAACCTTGTCTCCTTCGCATACCTCAATTTTGGGACCGGGAAGTTTTCGGTTCGCGCTGTACATGCTTCTCTCCACGCCGTCGGCCAAAATGCACTGGCATACGTCCTGTGACTGACAGGAATTGCACGACCTTGAATTAGCTAAATTAGGACGGTTAACATGCATACGCTTATTCTTACCATCCCATAGTACTGTACTGTTCCACATGAAAGTAAAAGTAACAAGTTCTGGGGATTCCATCACATGTTCTAGCACAACTATTGTTTTGTGCGGCGTGAACGATACTTCTCTGGTCGAACGCTGAGAAATCCATTGCAATAGTTACAAAACGAAAGTACAGATACTTACCCCTCGCAAGATCGCTGCCTGCTACCAGGGTGCAGCACAATACGTACAAAGTCAATGCCAAAATCATAATTGCGGTGTTTCGATCATTTCGACTAACTTTATATACAATATGGACGTAATCTCAGCTTATTTGTGCTGATTAAGATTCGCCTTAAATCTGTATGTTTTGTTCAAATGTGAACACAATATCCTTTTATGGAGGAGGATTTTATGCTCACGTCAATCGGTATCACAATGTCAAGACCGTTTATTGTTACTTAAGACCCCTGAATTGATATAAACAGCTATTTTTCTATACAATTAAAAGTTTTAAATGTTCCAAAACTAGCTTACAGCAATGTAAAGATATAGTGCAAACTCTATGGTCAAAGGGTGACGTGAAACTTAAGCCAGACTTTTGTACAGTAAGTAATTGCGCGAAATATTAGGTGTAAAGTGAAGAAGATAACTCAAAATCTATAAAGCCTAAGTAATATAAAAGAGAGTGCAAGAGAATTATTTACAGAGGAGTGTCTTATGAACAGCGTTTATACAGCTGTAATTAAAAACACCCGAGTTACGTACGTGGATATTAAGTAAACATTGTAAAAGGTATATTAGCAGACGTTTTAGAAAGCATTAAAAGATTAATAACTGACGTTTTATGGTCGATGTGCAAATTTCCGCGATCAAACTCAGGGGTCAACATCATGGGTGCACTGATAATTCGTGTCAATCTTTCACGAGATAGGTACATGTTTATGGCTGCTTGCCAGTGTTGCTTAGCGTAAGTGTCGGCTAAAAGCAAATCCTCTTAAATCTACTTTATCGGCTTACGAATTTGCAAACTAATCTCTTAAGTTTTGAGTTTGAAGGGTGATGGAAGATCAAAATTAAGCAAAACCACTAAACGTATTAATACATTAAAAGATAATAGTACAGACAAATTCTAAAATGCCAAAACTGAAACCTACAGCGTACACGAAAAAGAAATGAATAAAAACTGTGAAAGGACGACTAGACGTACAAAATAGGTTTGGAAAAAAGTACAATGATCGGTCGGCAAGCGAAGCCTCTTAGTTTGTTCACGTCAGCACCCTCTGCCACAATCCTGAACTTGGAGTTCTGCTACTTCAACAAATTCTTTCGATTTATTTTAAATCTTCAGTCACTTTAGATCCTTCGAAGGTCTTCTACTTCTTCGGATTTCCTGATTATTGTTATCTTTAGTTTCTTCAGCTTTGAGCACACATTCCTTCAGATTACTGCATTATTCAGATTAATTCTGTGCGATTCTTCAGATTCTCTATTTGCTGATCCTTTGGATTAATGTCGCGTCCCTTATGAATAAATTATTCCTTACTTAGAGCTATTTTGTGAGTGATAAGTTAAAACAATGAGAGGGGATTAAAAGGGAGAAGAGATGTCTTGGGCATACGGTTTTGAGCCCTACAAGAGCTCAAGTCTAATTCAGATTCGAAGTGGCTCAGAATGTAAATTTTCTTCGGGCATCTTATTTTTGAGTGTTAAAGTTCACGCTAGTTTTCCGCAAAGTTTACGGTCAAAAAAGTGAAAGAGACAGGAGGCGAATTAAAACGTGTGTTACCGTGGAAAGACAGTAATTATCTAAGATGAATTTAAACATGTAATTGAAAATACGCCAAAAGGGTTATTGTTAACGACTTAACGAGATCATTTTCTCCGCGAACCACCCAGAAGGACTCGAACGTTCTATTTCGAACATTTATGAGCGAACATTGAAATAGAACTTAGATATATCAGTTATAGGGTTAAAAGTTAAAACCCTTCTCTCTTACTTTTGTATTAACAGAAAGTTTCGTTTTTTATATTAAAAAAATGCGAACAGTGGGCGCCAAGTGCAACGTTTGCTTTTACATTACATTAACAAAAATGTTATACCTATTCTATTTGGGCCCGAATAACATTTCAATCATAAAGAGAAAGACGGGAGAATCTTACCTTTATTTCTTGACTTCCAAGTGCCTTGCCCAGCTTAGATTGTCCAATCATTTGTATTGAATATAATGAGACATGAGGTACATAAAGTTGGCGTATAATGAAATCACTATAATTGCATACAACCATCAATAGTTATTTACATAAAAGTTAGGAAAATGACACATTACTGGGCATAAGTAAATATTGAGGTACTACTAGACTCAACAAAATTAAATTGCTCTGCCCCAAAGGGTCGTACTTCAATATTGGATAGGTTTCTACAATATCTACACAAATATAATACCAATCGGCAATTTCGATAAAACTAAAACTATCCTACTTGATTTCCGCCGTGTCGTTCGCAGTCCTTCGTTGTCCTCGGTAGTGTGTACCTAGGTAATTTGGGGGAGCGGGAAAAAACCTTGTCTCCGATGGGTTGGTCGATGGAATGGCTTTTCTCGTTGCGAAATTACACATAGCTAATCAGAACATCCCCGATAATCACAGAAGTCGGCGATGGGTCTTTCGATGGAATCGGTAATTTCACCATTTATGGACCCAGACACCGTCAACATCGCGCTGGAGATGTGCAACGGATACTCCATTTAGTCGGGTCTTGTTTTTCGAAAATCCAAATGATACCCCCCTAATTCGACTACGCTGAATCCGAAATTCGAAATTCCAACCGACGTCCAAAATAGCGCCGAATTTAAGAGTTTTTCTGCTTTTGGCCATATGTACGCGATCCAGCTGTCTATTCCGATGTTCTCAGGGGCGTAAAGCACGATTAAGTACTTCAAACTAAATTTGGTGCACCATTAAAAGGTCATATTTTAACGAAAATTCTCCAAAAATCGAAAAATTGGTGGAAATGTGTATTAAATGTGTGCTATGTTTGAGGGAATTCAGAGCACGTTTAAATGCTCAAAAACAGGTATTTAGGATATTCATTTAGTAAATTAAATTGACATTAACCCCAACCCACAGCCACTTACAATGTCCTTAAGTTTTTTTCTTTCAATATTTTGGCTTGGGAGCTCGAGTACCTTCCAAGTTTCGTCTTTTCTATCTGGGGTTCGTTCCACCCCACGCCCGTAAACTTGAAAGTTTTAGTGGCCAGTAAACTAGGGCTAATTTGGGTGCGTATAATTCAAATCAATTCGTACTTTTTCGATCAGACTTCTTAATCAAAAGTTATAGACTAGAAACCAATTTCGAAAAAATTCAAAGGGCTGTAACTTTTGAACTAGTAGCCCAATCTTGGAACTGTTTGAAATTATGGATTCTACAGGCCACATTCTATAAGACAATTTTTTTTCCGGGTCGATCTGAGACCATTTTTTTTCGGAGCTCAAAAAAAGGCAGTGTATAACCTTCCTTTTTTACAAAAAATCGACTACACCAAAATTTCTCGGGAAAACACTTTTTCTTATTAATTTTGGTGCGTAGAATCCAAAACAATTCGTACTTTTTCGATCAGACTTCTCAATCAAAAGTTATAGACCAGAAACCAATTTCGAAAAAAAATTCAAAGGGCTGTAACTTTTGAACTAGTAGCCCAATCTTGGAACTGTTTGAAATTGTGGATTCTACAGGCCACATTCTATAAGAAAATTTCTCTTCCGGGTCGATCTGAGACAATTTTTTTTCGGGGCTCAAGAAAAGGCAGTGTACAACCTTCCTTTTTTACCAAAAATCGACTACACCAAAATTTCTCGGGAAAACACTTTTTCTTATTAATACTTTCTTCGTCCCATTCATGCACTTCGCTTTACATTTGCACACATTTTTGTGCAAGGGACCCAGGGCTCTTTCTTGCTCCCACACTGCTTAATGCTGCAGAGTCCTTTGCAGCCACAAACAGTAAATTTTCTTGGGAGCGGCCCTTCCACAGAAGTGAATTTTTTGGGAGAAACTTTCCTCTTGAGATATTTTTGCATACTTACTGCAAGTAACAATCACAACCGTAACACCGTTAGGGTTGCCATTATTCAAAAATTGATATCTCTCTGTTCGTTTAATTTGGCGTTAAGATACCACCCAAAAGGTAGCCAGCCCTTTCTTTATGTCTAAAAATATGCGTACCAAATTTGGTTCCAATCGGTTCAGCGGTTTAGCCGGACCGTCAGACCGAAATCATCGAGATTTTATTTGATTCGGATTCCTGGTGCCTGAAAATGTCAAAAAAGTGCGGGGCGTCATTTTTTACCCCAGCACAATATCTCCTTTACTAACGTGCGGCTGGTTTCTATTTTGAAAAAAGCACAATGGCGCTAACTTCCGGTATTTACGGAAGTTGCGCCATCTTTCATTTCGTTGCAATTTGCCATAGTTCGATTAAGGCTGTGAACCAAGTCTCAATAAGTTATTATTTCAACTGCAAGTGCAAAACCTTCTAACGTACGGTCTACGTGAATCTCCCTGTATGCGTGTGTGAATATTGTAATGAATTAAATTACTGGAAGTAGGTATGTGCGCTGTTTTTGACAAAGAAATGTTTTAGCTGTGTGCAATGAAAAGTAAGACATGTGACAGTATTAGATTATGT